GAGTCAGGTTCAGGCAAAGGGCACATATTTTCTCTCAAATGCGGAAGTTAGATGCAAATTGTACATCTATTCATATAGACAAAAATACATTGAAGTATATAGTATATGCCGGGGAAGATTCCAATGGTGTAGCTCCTGTCAACAATGATCTTACACTTTAACAAACTGAATAAGAGGAAGTTGGAGATTGTGTGGTTGGAGGGAGGGTAAAGTCAAGGGGAGCAGGATCAGACAAATCAAAACAGGAAGGGTGGGCAAATGTAGTCATAATATTCATGTACATAGAAGAAAATGGAGCCAGGTAAGCTGAGGGGAAGCATGGGGTTGGGAGAGATGAGGAAGAAGGGTGGAAGGGGTGGCATCCATCAAAATGCTTTGTCCTCATAAACTGGCATCTTGAATTGAGACCTCTTTGTACAACTACTTAAAGATATACATATAGGGCTGGGAAGGGGGCTCAGTGGTAGAATGTTTGCCTTGCATGCATGAGGCCCTGGGTTTGATTCCTCAGCACCACAGAAGCAGAACAAAAAAAAGCCAGAAGTGGTGCCATGGCTCAAGTGGTAGCGTGCTAGCCTTGAGCTGAAGAGCTGAGGGACAGCGCCCAGGTCGAGTTCAGGCCCCACGACCCGACTATGTACATATCTATATTTTTATTACAAGTACAATTTCAAGATCAAAGTACACTGGATAGTTACAATTTTGAGAAGCTATCACTTGTCCCCCAAACTCGTTGCTTATGTTTACATTCCCATGCACCCTCTAGGAGAGTTCCCATTTTCTCACAGCCTTTCCAGTACTGACTGTCATCACCCAATTTGATGGATATAGGACATTAAATAAATGAAGGCTGATAATGTGGAGTCAGTTTGTGGGGAGGAGCTGGGGAGTGTTTTTGGTTTGTTTTTTTTTTTTTTTCTGCTGCTACTCCTGGGGCTGGAACTCAGGGCCTGGCTTAGGCTCTGACCCTGAGCTTTTTTTTTTTCTTTCTTTCTTTTTTTTTTTTTTTTGGTAGATGGGCTTGAACTCTGGGCCTGGGCACTTTCCCTGTGCTCTTCAGCTCAAGGTGAGCACTCTACTGCTTGAGACACAGCACCACTAGGTGTTTTTCTGTTTCTTCTGCTAGTCCTGAGAACTCAGGGTCTGGCTTAGGCCCTAACTCTGAGCTTTTTTTTCTTCTTTTTTTTTTTTTGGTCAGTCATGGGGCTTGAACTCTGGGCCTGGGTGCTGTCCCTCAGCTCTTCAGCTCAAGGCAAGCACTCTACCCCTTGAGCCACAGCACCAACTTCCAGTTTTCTGGTGGTTAATTGGAGATAAGAGTCTCATGGATTTTCCTGTTTGGGCTGGCTTTGAATCTCATTCCTCAGATCTCAGACTTGTGAATAGCTAGGATTACAGGCCTGAGCCACCTGAGCCCAGCTTGTCCCTGAGCTCAGGGCTAGAGCTCTACTACTTGGGTCACAGGCATTTTTTGTTTTGTTTTTTGGTTGTGGGGCTTGAACTCTAGGCCTGGGCACTATCCCTGAGCTCTTCAGCTCAAGGCAAATGCTCTACCACTTGAGCCCTCAGCACCACTTCCAATTTTCTGGTGGTTAATTGGAGATAAGTCTCATGGATGTTCCAGCCTTGGCTTGCTTTGAACCGAGATCTTCAGATCTCAGCTGCCCGAGTAGGCACCAGTATCCAGCTAGGCTTTTTCATGATTAAAGATGAAGGTCTCACAGACTTTCCTGCCAAGGCTGTCTTCAAGCTGTGATCTTCAGATCTCAGCATCCTGAGTAGCTACGTTTATAAGCATGAGACACTAGCATCCAGCTGTCTGATTTTTTAATATACATTGATGGCTAAAATCTTCCTTTTTAGAACTGGCTCTGTTGTGTTCTACATTCATTTTCACTTAATTCTAGAAATTTTTAATTTTCCTCCTTGCATTCTTCAATGGCATCATTAATTATTTAAAAGTGTATAGTTCAATTCAATCTCTATGTGCTTAAATAGTTTCTGTGATTTCTCATTTAATTATTTTGCTATTAGTTTGTTGTTGTTGTTGTTGTTGGCATGGGGTTTGAACTCTGGGCTTAGGTGCTGTCCCTGTGCTCTTCAGCTCAAGGCTATCACTCTACCACTTGACCTACAATGCCACTTCTGGTTTTCTAGTGGGTTATTGGAGATAATGGCAGCCAGGCATTTAGAAACAATGCCATGTCTGGTTTTCTAGTGGTTGATTGGACTTTAGTGCCAGGGCTGCCTTTGAACCATGAGCCTCAGATCTCAGCATCCTGAGTAGCTAGGATTACAGGTGTGAGCCACCAGCACCCAGCTGCTATTGGTTTTTTTATTTTATTTCCCTAGCTCTGGAGACTACTTGCCTTTTTGTAAAATAAGGACTTTATAGGACTTCATGTCCTGAATCTTGCTGAGGAAGATTATGTACCTTACCTCAGAGAAATAGAACAAATACTTGGAAATGGTGTTTGCTAAAAAGCACCAACTCCTTACTCAGGCCCATGGCTTACTAAAAGCAGAAGAAAGGCTTGGCATCCTCTCTCCATCCTGTACCTGGTGCTGCTCTGAGCCATTTACTCATGTAGTCACCATTAGAGCTATTTGGGTTCCAGGAAGGACAGGAGGGATAGATAAATACTGTCTGACAACACTCAAAGCTACACCTCAGGCACTAAAGACATTCTTACTCTTCTGTTGACCATGCTCCTGCAGATCAATTCTAAGATATTGGTAAAAGCAGCCATATCTGATCCAGTTCCTCCTGTTTTTAAATCTCATATCTCACCCAAAAAACAGGCTGAAATGCTTTCTTGGCCTCTTCCTGTTTTTTTGCCTATGTCATCCCCACTTTCTGTCCAACACCTTTATCCATCCTATTTTAGAAGCTAGCCACACATGACATGTTGGAACCTACTGAGACAGGATAAACTAGGGAAAATGAGTCATGTGAAATGGCAGCCAGGCATTTAGAAACAATGTACTTAGAAACATGGAAGCACTATCTTCTTTCTACTCCTTCACTAGCTGCAAAGTTAATATGAGGGAAAACAAAAAGAGCAAGAACAGTTTGGTTTTTTTTTTTTATCTGACCTTGCTTTCTGGCCCAAAACAATTAATGTGCTCTAAAATGTGAGATGCATATGTGTATATATATGCATATATATATGTGTGCATATATGCATATATATATGTGTGCATATATGCATATATATATATATATATATATAAACATTCCTTCCTAAAAGAGATGCCCAAACATAATGGTCATATATTTAAAGTACTGGTTAGTCTCAGAAACCATGAGCCCAAGCAGTAAAAGTGTAACATCAAGAGCAATAAAGAGGGCTGGGAAGGTGGCTCAGTGGTAGCGTGTTTGCCTTGCATGCATCAGGCCCTGGGTTTGATTCCTCAGCACCACATAAGCAAACAGAAAAAAGCCAGAAGTGGCGCTGTGGCTCAAGTTGTCGAGTGCTGGCCTTGAACAGAAGAGTGAGGGACAGTGCCCAGGCCCAGAGTTCAGGCCCCATGACTGGACTCAAAAACAAAAAAAGAAAAAAAAAAGAGCAATAAAGAGCAAAAGCTAAGCTATTACCTATACATAACTTTAAGTCAGACTGTTGTCAGAAAACTGAATCTCCCTTTGAGCCATCCACACTCCATTAGAGTTCCTTTTAAGTTTAGTGTTAGTCTGCTTACCAGTTGCTTGCTTGCTTACTCAATAAAGCTCTGCCAAGGTTTCTTACTGTGTGACTTGTGCATAAATTTTTATTTTGCAATTGAAGTCATGGACCCTGTAAAGAGGCCCTGCTTTTAAAGGGAAATATCACAAACCCTCACCTGAATCATGATGCTCTGGAGTTGAGTGTCCAATCTAGAACGTTCTATTTTAGAACTGAAACTTCCTGTCATGCCACGCTACACAAATAGCTATAAGTATTGCTTACACCTCTGTGCTATTCTAATACACAGGGTCTCCAGGTTGTTCAGTCATTCCCAATTTAATGAGGGCAGTCTGTTTGTGCAGGATTTTTCCATACAGATCTTTTTCCAACAATGGAGCAGTATTTCAGAGTGGAGTAAAGGAGAAAGCACATTGATCATAAATTGTTTCATCCTACACTATTAATCCTGCCCATTATAAATGAAAACTAGCACAGAAGTAGAATGCATAGGTCAGAAGTCGTGTGTGTGTGTGTGTGTGTGTGTGTGTGTGTGTGTGTGTGTGTGTGCCCGTATCCGGGCTTGAACTTGGGGCCAAGGTACTCTCTCTTAGCATTTTTACTTAACGCTGGCACTCTGCCACCACTGAGCCACAGTTCCACCTCCAGCTTTTTGCTGGTTAATTAGAAGTCTCACAAACTTTTTTTTTTCCCTAGCTGACTTCAAACCACAATCCTTTTATTTCAGCTTCCTGCATAACTAGTAGGATTGGAGACGACATGAGCCACCAGTGCTTGACAGTCACAAGGAAAGTGAAGACATGCTTGACCTCCAGGGATATCTTCTTGCCAATGACCTACTTGAGACTAAGTCCAAGCCCAGCAATCTCCTTGTTAAATGGAAATGTTCAAGGAGCCCTAGAAGAGAGTTTCTGATCTAGCTCAGAGGGCAGAAGTCTTGGTGGGCCTATCCTCCACACACATACAGTGTGGGTAAGGACCCACAGTGTCCAGACCCGGCAGCCACACATCCCCACTCCTAGTAACAAACTTGTCTGTCTCCATCCCTCCCTTTCCCCAGGCCACAAAGGCAGCTCCCTGCCAATGGCTTCTTCCATGCAGTCCAGGGCTGCCTCCTCGGTTGAGCTCCCTTATCCCCCAAAAACCTCCTTTCCATCTTTTTATTCATCCTAGTACTCTACTGAAACAAAGGGAAGCCAAACAGAAACTCTCCATATGTGAACTGTAGTGGGACAGTTTCCTCTTTTTGCTTTTCAAAGACAGCAAAACTGAACAGCCAGCCCTCCCCAGAAAACAGCTCCCAAAGGCACTTACAAAGCAAGGTGACTGCGCTCAGGACCCTGGGCACCCAGCCCAGGTGGCAGTCAGAGCAGGAAGCCATCACAGCTGCCTTCTTATCTGATGAGCTGCTGAAGAAACAAATGGTCAGCAGCAAGAGAAGTGAGAAAGCACATTGCTTGTGAGCCACCCACAGGGGTGGAACTATATGCACAGGAAATCATTGATCAACATACAAAAGACCCAGCCTCCACAATACACACACCATAAGGCATGGTAGCACCTGGTCCAGTATATGCCTGACTTCTTGGTTGGTCTTCTCCCCGCTGGCACTTGTAGCTGGGCTTCTCACACCAACCTACCCCCACCACCTCCACCCTAACCTGCTTCCTCAGGCTAACGATCGCTTTAGTTTTATGCCAGCCAGTAGGCATGCTCTCCCCATCCCACACCATAGAGCAAGCCTTAGCCCTCTGAGTTTAGTCATTTCTTTCTATTTCTCCCCCTTTCATTGTTATTTTCTTTTTCTCATTCTACAAGGTCTACAACTGTCACCGCTGCCTAAAAATGTGACAGACATATGTACATACATAACACAGCTCTTAATGGAGCTCTCCTATGCAAATACTTGCATTTACCTTAGGTTAGAGACAAACTTGATGGCCTAGAAGTGAGAAATTTCTCTTTAAGCCTCTGCCAGCCCTGTCTTGCCACACAGAGGATGGGGCAAACCCATACTGGGTCCCCCCACAGGTCAGCTACCTCAGGGTCATCTTCCCAACCATGACTATGACTCACTGAGCCCAGGATCTAGCTCTTAACTCTCACCTAGATACCCCAAGACACCTCAAATGTGTTCTGTCTTAGATTGTTCACTCTATCACTTGAGCCACAACTATTTCTAACTTTTCAGTGATTAGTTGGAGATTAAGAATCTCACAGACTTTCCTGCCCAGTCTGGCTTTGAACTGTGATCCTCAGATTTTAGCTTCCTGAGTAGCAAGGATTACAGGCAGGAGCCACCATATTGTTTTATTTCTTGTTTTTTTTAATCCATTGACTAGACAATGAAATCCACATTCCAATCGAAGTAATTCATTGGCTAAGAAAATTCTGTTACCATTTTAACTTGTTTTTGGACTGTTTTACAGCTCTTTTTTTTTTTGTCTCTCATGGGGCTTGAACTCTGGGCCTGGGCTCTGTCCTTGAGCTCTGTAGCTCAAGGTGAGTGCTCTACCACTTGAGCACACTGCCACTTCCGGTTTTCTGGTGATTAATTGGAGATAAGAGTCTCACAGACTTTCCTGCTTGGGCTGGCTTTGTACTGCGATCTTTGGATCTCAGCCTCCTGAGTAGCTAGGACCACAGGTGTGAGCTACCAGTGCCTGGCTTCCTTTCTTTATTTTCTTGGTATACGTATTATGGGATTCATATTTGCTAGGCAAACTTAACCAATTGAGCTTTAGTTGATTTATTTGGTATTTGGTTTTTTGGGTTTTTTTGGTAGTAATGTGCTTTGGTTCCTTTCTCTTTATGCTTTTTGTACACACTACAGATTTCATTTCTTTTTCCTTACAATAAGGTTTAAATAAAACTACTAAGCTTGGCTAAATTTTATGTGTTCAGTCTAGTTAAGTTTTTCTTTTTCTTTTTTGTCTGTTGTGAGCTCTGGGCCTAGGAGCTGTCAGCTCTTCAGTTCAAGACTAGTGCTCTACCACTTGAGCCACAGCGCCACTTCCTGCTTTTACTGATTATATGGTGCTGAGGTATTGAACCCAGGTCCTCATGCATGTGAGGCAAGCACTTTACCACTGAGGCACCTTCCCAGCCCCTTTAGTTAAGTTTTGAGATGTTATGTAAATATTATATTAATATAAGAGGTTAGTTAGATATTTAAAATATTTAAATATTAAGTATGGAGCCTAGCCAAATTTCAAGAAAACTTCTTAAAACTTTTATTTCCACACTTGTAAAGTGAGACTAACAGTTTCTAACTCACTACAAAAACACACATGATGAGCGTGAGGAAGCTACTCAAAGATTGATACAGGAATTGCGTGAGCAGCTTGAGAACACTTAAAGAGAAATAAAGAAACGCTATGAGCAGGCTGAGATCAGTCAAAGAGAAAGTCAGGAATGGCATGAGGAGGCTCAGAACACTCAAAGAGAACTATAGGAATTGCATGATCGTGAGGAAGCTAACAAAGAGTAATACAGGAATTCAGAGAGCAGGATGAGAATACACAAGGATCACTAAAGGCATTCATGGAATCCATAAATAGAGAGCTGAAAGAAGCCAGAGAGACCACAAAGGGAATGCTGAATGGAACCCAACAGAAGGAATGGGAGTCCAAGGAAACCATAACCAATCAACTAAGTGATTTGAGAATAAACACTGAACACCAAATTAAGGAAGTAAATAAGTTCATACAAGATCTAAAACAAAGCTCCAACAAAGAATTTGAAGCCATCAAAGCCGACCAATTAGAAGGAAAAGAAATAAAAAACAAAGTAGGAAGTCTTGATAGTAGGTGAGACCATGCAGAAGATTGAATTTCAGGGATTGAAGACAGCCTAGGTATTATAGAGAAAGAACATACACCATCCAAGACAAATCCAAGAAATATAATAGACTATTCAACACTTGGAAGACACCATCAAAAGGCCTAACCTGAGGATAATGGGTGTAGAGGATCACCTAGAGACAGATGTTAATAGTCCAGGAAATTTGATTAACAGAATCCTAGCAGAAAACTTCCCAAACATGCAAAAAGATAGGCCTATTCAATACAAGAAGCTTTTAGAACCCCAAATAGACCAGACGAGAATAGGACATCCCAGCATCACATTATAATTCACAGATTATATCTCAGATTTCTCAGCAGAGACAATCAAAGCAAGAAGAGCCTGGAATGATATATGCCATGCCCTAAAGACAAACAACTATCAACCAAGAATACTGTACCCAGCTAAACTCTCCTTCATAACTGAAGG